AACCCAAGTCTTTTACCTTCAAAGCAGACACTCCAACAGTGTCATGCTGCTTTTTCTCTGGTAGCATAGTGCCTAAGGCACTTGACTGCTAACCAGAAGGCTGTCGGTTCAAAACCAACAGCCACTCCTCGGAAGGAAGATGGGGCAATCTACTTCTGTAGTAATACTGCCTCGGAAACCCAAGGAGGGGTTGCTATGACTCGACAGCACACAACAACATCAATAAGTAAGTTCTATTAGATTTTATCAAAGAACTGCATTTTTAAAACTCCAGGACATTAGCAAACTAAATTTTACTTAAGTAAAAATCAGGAAACTGGCTGGGCACCAGGATACTCAACTATACATTGCAACTAACAACAAGCACTCACTGTGTACACGGTAACCCAGCCGACTAGGTAGAGAAGTAAAGGACAGTTGCTACAGGCTTATGCCTTCAAGTAGTCCATAACATAGCTGTTGAAACGATGCACAGGCACTAAAAGAAAACACAAATGGAAGGCCAACATTCCACCGTAAGAACAAACACCATTGTTATACAAAAGTCTACCAATCATCCTCAGTGTGTAGCATCCCCCACATTCCCACATACTCACTCTGCTACCCTATCTGGCTCGAGCTCCCTTCAGGCTTGGCCTATTAACCAAAGCTTGGCCTATGGAAAAAGAAGTAGAGAATAATCCATTGGTTTAACACAAAAACTTGCAGTTACAATTTATATCCATTTGGGAACCGTGATGACACACTAGTCAGGGGAGATGTGAACGAAACCACAAGCAGCCTCCTGGACCATTTGATGAGGTGAAGAAACCTTCCAAGCAGGAAGACCAGCTGCATATTCAGCTAGGTCAGTCTACCTTTTATGGGGCCTGGAGCAGGATGGGAAACAGGGATTACTTTTCTATGAGGTTTTTAAGTGCCTTCATGCACAACACAGGGACACAACAAGATCAGCCGTGCCCTCAGGAAGCCCATAATCTAGTTGAAGAAACAAAACTAACAACAAACTCAGCAATGATATCCACAAACACAGACCAGATGACCGAAAAAGCAAAGGAAAAGATCCTGGGAAGTTTTACTTGAGGCCACTTCAGAGGATGAGCCTAAGATGACTCAAATGAGGGAAAACTGCAAGGCAGGCTGGCAGCAGTCAGGAACTGGAGCAAAGATGAAAAGCAACAAGAAGGTTGTTGTTTCAACTTGACTCTGTCCAATTACCTCAGCAGGCAAGGAAAATAAAGGGGCAATTTGCATCACATTTACTCAAAAGGATGGCTTCCTACAACTCCAGGAAATGGTTTGTGCCGGAGTGTGGCTCTTAAAAGGAAAAGCTCCCTAGATCCTGCAAAGAAAAGAAAGAGAGAGAGTCAGAGAAGAGGTTCTCCTTTGGCATTAGTGAGTCAACCTCCCAAGGGCCACACATCAGAAAGGTACAAATTTCTGCAATCACAAAAACGTAAAGAAACCTTCAGTCTCTCAAGATGAACATGTTTCTTCAGCAGGATGCAAGGTAAAGAAGTATCTAGAATGTTGATGCAAAAAAATAATTTTATCAGATAAAAAGTGGGCCCAATTTCCTCTACCAATTCAGTAGCAGTTTCAAGTTACAAAATGTTGTAATTCCTATCTCCAATCTACCTTATATCAATGTCCCCCTAAAAACATACCACTTTCAAGAAGCTGTATCTTTCTTAATGACCTCAAAATTGCTAATTTTCTAAAAAATAATGAAGTTTTTCACTGCCATTATTTCCGCCGGATCTCATAACCACCCAGTGAGTCAAGACAGGGATCACCCATTCCCATTCTACAGATACAATAAATGGAGACCAGATAGTTAAGTGACTAGTTCAAGGTCATATAGCTACTAACTGGCAGTGTGTGAATGCCCTGGCCAGTAACATTATCTTCTTTGCTAGGATGTTTTAAAACAGGATCATATAACCTTATTTGGAAACCATAAATCCAATAATCTTAAGAGTTAGAACGGAAAAGCAAATTTACTCTGCTAGGTGAAACATTGACTACTATCGCCTGGCAACCTGACTTGTTTTTTAATAGCAGTATCTTAGTTTAGCACCTTCTGGAAGTCTAAACACCAAAAAGTGTCCTAAGGCTTTTAAAAAGTAAATGAAAAGCTCAAACAAACAAATCAGTTGAACAGATACAAACTAAATGTCAACTGAACAGACTTAAAAACCACTCCAGCTTCTGAAAAACTGAGGCGAATCTAAACACTGACATTCTTCATTTCAGCTCTTCAATTCTTATGGCTACTAGAACATTCAGAGAAAGCCCCTCCACCTCAATCATGTGGAACGTAAATGAAATTGAAAAATCCCAAGCAATCTCACAAAAATGATATACAAATCACACCAGTTCAATTATTTCTGGGGCCAAACATGGAGAAGAGTGTGTCAAAGGAAAGAATTAGAAACCGTGTTTACTCTTACACACACATGCTACTCATCTCTTTGCATGCTGTAAATATAAAAATAAGCCCCAATAAATCCCTCCACAATTTACTGTGAACAAACCACAGATGATAATCCCACTAGTCAACTCTGCTCTCCTCCCCCCTGGGTGTAAATGCGACACACACAGGCCTCATATATAGGCCTCTTGCCTTTTTCTCCAACACAACTAGGACCTTTGTTCCTAGCGTCGGTTTTTAATGCTACTCAATGGCTCTTTCAACTTTCTACCCCGTGTTTTTGTTTTATTTTGGTGTTAGAGAGGAGATTCTGAGCCTTGACTTTTCAGGTCTTGAAAAAAAAAAAAAATGAAATGCCAAAAATATCTAAAGCGGCTCTCGGGAGGAATAGAAAGTTAAACACATCACTACAGGGCCTACGAAGCAGAGTCGAGCCCGGGGATCGGGTGATCTGGCAGCCCAGGCACAACCGGGGAAGGCCGACCAGGAAGGGAGCCGGCAGGGGCGCAGGCGGAGGTCCACTGAGGGCAGACACACCGCCACTAACACAAGAACACGTACACACGCACGCACGTTCACACACATATGCCCCCCATTAACTAATGAAGCAATCAGACTGTACCCTCCTCCGGACGCGATGCTTAAGCTAAACCAAGCCCAGACAAAGTCAAACGGCCTTATCAAAAACAAACAAAAAACCTGTCCTGAAGGTTTAGCTGGCCCCTCCGTTGTCTCCTCCCCACGCCAGAGTAACCAATCCCTGCCCGTTCCCCACAAGTAGTTCAAACACAGGGGTCTCTGACCCCCGATTTACACGTGTGGTTTTCATTTTGTGTGTGTGCTATTTCTCCTTTAGCAAATTAAGGCTTTCTCTCAGTCCAAGGAAGGAAGAGACAGGGCGGGAGGAAGGCGGGGTATGGAATTTTACATCAGAAGTCCCTTCGAACTTGTTTCCGCACTAGAAACCCCGTCCCTATGGAGGAGAGCGGGTGCGCTGGATGGGCAAACGTTGTAACAGGTTTTATGTAACCCATATAAATAAATGACTCGCCTCGCTTTGATTTCAATGCAAACACGACTGGGGTGACAACGGGTCCACCTCCCTCCCTCAAGTTCTGGGTCTTGCCCCCTCAGTTCCCCTTCTTGTTCAGTGAGAAAGATGCTCCACTTCTCTCAGCCAAGTTTCTCCGCCTCGTTCGTGCCCCCTTCACGGCCTTCTCGTCAGCTTCCCTCAGCCTCAACTTCCCACGGCTGAAGAAACTGCCCGCGCAGTCGTCGGCTCCGGGCTCGCCCGCCCTCAACCGTCCCCCTCGGCAGGCGACCCCTTACTGCGGACTCAACTCACTCCGGCCTCTCCCTCCTCTGACCCTCGCTTCCCACAACTGTTGTCACTCGAGCTGCTCCCTACTTTCCATTTCCGGGCCGTCCCCGGCCCAGGAGCCTCCCCTCTCTCCGTTTCCGGGCCCCCAGTCCCATTTCCGGGGAACCCAGGCCGTCTTCACACCCCCCACCTGCACTTCCGGCCCCCCACTTTCTGTCTTCCCAGGCGCCCTCCAAGCTCCCGAGTCCATTTCCGGCCCCCCCGACCCCCGCCGAGCTCCCCAAGACCCGCACGCCTCACCCCTGTTCCGACAAGGGCCCTCCTCATTGCGGGGGGCCGGAAGGGGCACCCAGCGACCCCCCGCTCCCGGCTGCCCGGGTCCCTACGGCCGCGGTCTTCCTCGAGCGCCTCGCCCGTCAACCCCCGCCTCGGTCCTTCCGCGGCCCCACCGCCGCCGGGAACAGGCCGAGCGGGGGCCGAACTGCGGCGATGACACAACCGGGCTTCCTGGGACTTT